CCTGGGTGAAGTGAGGAAAATTTGTGCAAAGTGCCTTTCCCAAGGACACAACGTCGGGCCCCTGACGGGATTCGAACCCACGACCTTACGGTTGCGAGTCCGAGAGCTTAACCACTAAGCCACCGACGCCACAAATATATTAAGAACTAGAGATCTAGGCTATCTCTGAAGCGCCTGCCGGTTGTTTCGTCGACTCATCCTATCGAGCCCGTTTTTTAAAGTCCCAGCCCCTTTGTTGTCACCCGTCTCTCTGTGTTTATGCTCTAGTTTAGTTTAGTTTTAGTAGAGGTTTTACGGCACTCGCAACTGCATAAGGTCATATGAGCGCCAGAAGATTAGAGGTGTTACAAGAGAGTAACAAACATAAAAAAAGAAGAATGGAAGACAAGGACGATAGATGGTTGATAGGAAAGAAGAAGCAAACCACACCAGAGCACTCGCCAACCACCCACGTTTATGCTCTGGTAGTTTCTTTATTATAAGGGACCATCATTATCATCCTATTATCTTTTGTCCTGTTATCTTCAGATTGGTCAAATCTGAACTTTTGTCCAACTGTTAGATTTGTCAACCAGCATACTTCTTGGTTTCCAACGCTGTAAAGTTATCGCAATTAAACACCAATAGCCTACCATGAAGTTGATTTTTTAAAAATAGTTAAGTTTTTGTTGCCTTCGATTACGCCAGGAATGTGCATTGGAACCCAGATTTCTTTTACACCAAGGTTACTCTAGGGTGGGGCAAGCATATCCTAGTCATGGACTCGACCGATTCCGTGTATCTCACGCGCCAAACCAGGAGAAATTTTGGTATAACCGAATGAAATGCCTAAGCTCTCAAAAATGAAACGAAACCTAACACTGTAGCATAATAAAAGTGATGTTGCTGAAGGGCATGGCATGAGATAAATCTGTTGTTTCCTGCGGGGACGGAAGCTACTGATTTTGATTTTCAAAACTTGTAGTTTTGTTTTTATGACTTATCAACTCATCGGGGGCCACTTTCATGACCAATTTTTGGATGGACTCGCGGACCAGACTGAAACTGCTAGCCGGCTATGTCTTGCATGCAGGCCCAAGTTTGGCCATGAATGCTTCTCCCATTGGTAGTTGTGGTATTACTGCCTGCCGAGAAAAGGTCAGTGAGGTTTTCAGGATACCTGTATTCTTTTTCTTTTCTATCGATTACGCTTGTCCGTTCCATATTATGCAATTATTGTGCTATAGGGTTTACATCATTTGAAATCTGACCGTAAAGAATTTCCCGTTGATAACAGAGACAGTTTTTACGTACCGTACGCTTTTTGTTTTATCTGAATAGAGAGAGCTTAGGAAGTGGGATTCAAAGGGCATGGGAAACCGGGCGACATTATTTTATCACCAAATTTTAGTAGAAAAGATTTTTACCCCCCCCCCCCCCCTAAACACAAATTTATAAACAAATAGGCATGTGAATCTAAACTTACATAAAGAACGAAATTTAGTAAAATTCTTTAAGTCTAAGCAAACGTTTTAGGAAATTAATTGTGAAAATAGCACCAGTAAAACTGAAAAGAGAAGACTGGAGACTTTCATCAACTATAATCTTTTATTAAGCTAGATCGCTACAATTTCTTCCCTTTTTTTGATACATAAGCTAACATTGATTGATTCTCGTCCCTATGGCCATGATCCTTTCAGTTCCGCAGAAAGTGCAGCCTCTGGGAGACTACCTGGACAGCCACTGTCGGCCAGGTACAAGCGTGTTTGCACATCTCTTTGAGTGGAAATGGAAAGACATAGAGAGGGAGTGTGCTTTTCTGGCACGGGCCGGATACTGCGGCATACAGGTAGGCTCTCGAAATATTAGAAATTCATTATGCCTCGCAGAGACAAATTTGTCCCGATCATTACGATAGAAGTGAATATTTCTAGCATTTAGTCTTCTCCCCCTGAGTCTTCCCTTTCCCTCACTACCCACCCCCCCTCTCTCTCTCTCTCTCTCTCTCTCTCTCTCTCTCTCCCTCTCTCTCTCTCAATATTTCTGCCAATCAACATTATTTCTATATAAGTTCGGACTGTGGAGGTGACCGCTTGGGAGCGGCTTAGGAAAAGAGGATCAATATCTCTGTGTGTGTTTATTTGTTTGTTTGTTTGTTCGTTCGTTCGTTCCTTTGTTTCTTTCTTTACGCAAATATGCTTATAATATTAACCTGTCCAGCTCTATATCTAAATGCATATACAACTGCATACATTCCTTTCCTTTTTTTCTTTTTCTTTCTTTTCGTCGTCCCACCCTTCTTCTTGTCGACGTTGCGTACATAAGTATGTTTGTATTACCAAGTGTTTCAAAGTTCCATTGTCTTCTTTAGTCGTGTAAAGTTTTGTAACGTTCATACACTTATGGCCCACTTCACTGTTATGATGACGTTTTCAACATTGTACACAATTACCCGAAGTAGCTGTCTGCACACTTTTCAGTGATCTCATCGCACCTTCTACCCTTCACCCCCACCCCTCTCTTATTCAATTTTCTTTGGCATTTCCTGGCATCGCGTTTAGCCGGACAAGTCCCCACCCCTTCCCGAACCCCCCAATACCGTGCGCATGGGAAAACACCCTTGGACAAGGTGAACAGCATGAATGGACCTGCCATCTAGATCGAAGTTACGCTCGTGAAGTTTGATTAATTAGAGTTATGAGTCAGCTGGGCTCCGTCAGACTTTTGACCTTTCAGGAACTCTCAAGAGTTGGAGAACCGGCGTCTGTAGTGTAGCGATTAGGCGTCTTGCTGTCGTTTGCAGGAGATCCGAGTTCGATTTCCGAGTGGGGGGGTTAGAATTTTCATCGAGTATTGCGGTCTTTCTGCTCGAATGTTGTATCCCTCTCAGGCCGCATTGGCTCTGCCTTCTAAATGATCTAAATGTGTCGACGGGGTTGTAAAAAACCTCTACATATAAAAAGAGTTGGAGGAGGGTCAGGACTTGTCGGTTTTCTCATCATCTTTGTCACACCATCAACAACGGCAGCCGCACCAGCA